ACTAACTGAGCAGCTGAACCGTTACCATTTGGCTGATATGCATTATTATGATTATACTTTTTTACAATTATTTTTTTTATAAACAATAACCTAAATAGAACTTCCCAATCATTTTAAATGATTTTAAGTATGTCAAACTGTTTCCCACTGAATAACTTTTCCATGCTTATGTTTTTTTTTTGAAAACTCAAGACTAAATGATCTAGAATTTCACTTTGACACTTAGACGTAAGCAAGTTTGTTATGTAATAAATTGTAATCTGCTAAATGTTTTAAAGCTTTGCTAGTTCAATAAGTGAAAGCTAGAGGAATATCTGCAGGATTTCCTCCAGCATCATAGCTAAGCTCCAGACATAAACCATCAATTAGAATGTCTCAACTTTGATGTGGTGACATTACCGTTTATGCCAATAATTACATTTGTCTAAAGCCATGAATGCAGAGGAGAAAAGAAGCTGGTTACATTCTGAAAAGCTGCTTCCAAACAGCCGGCCTCAGCTAACAGGAAGCCATTAAACTCTCCAATAACCATTTGCATCCAGCCACCCAGCCATGACTTTATTTCCATCCACATAAGTGCATTTTCCATGAGGTTAAAATATGAATCCCCTCCTTTTTCTCCTCAATGGGTCTGGCCGTCTGGCTGACTTGAGAGGACACAATCTATGACTGATTTAATTTGGTCTTTACGAACATCTCTAACAACATTACCCCCAGAGCATACACTGACTATCCCCATCTGACTCCATTAACTCTCAAATCAGGTTTAAAGACCATATTGATGCCGTCCGTTATTAAGGGTGATTATCAAAACAACAGACAAAGGGCCAAAGTGTCTGTTAACTAGTTTATCTGTAATTTCACGTAACCATAATAGATGGCTAGGCTGGCAGTTACATGCTGAATGCACTGGACACAAAGGTTGCAGCATGTTTGGACATGCAGCATTTTATATTCTAACAACTAAAGTCTACTTGCAGGTTGTTCAGATAAACACACGTGCTCTGATTAAATACTAAATGTGGTTTGAGAAAATTGTCGTCTCAGCTGTTCTTTTTTTCAGTATTTAAAAAATAAGAATAAAAAAATCTAACGGTGCTGCAGTCCACTTCAGCACCTTTATTCACTACAATTAACAAGAATGGCTTTTGAAGCTGTAATTAAGTGCCTCTGCTCCACTCGGTCCTCTTCATTATTCATGAATCCCTATTGATCATATCTGAGAACCGGTTACTGAGGAGATCACTGTAATATCCTGAATCCACAAAAAGCAAATGACTGAGCTAAAGGAGATTTTATTAAGATTTTGGGCCAGTACCCCCCAAAATCTGATACAAAAAAATAAATTTACACACACACACACACACACACACACACACACACACACACACACACACACACACACACACACACACACACACACACACACTATAAAAACTGAATTTAGTTTTATATTTAAATAATTGTTAAAGAATTTTATATATATATAATCATTTATATTTTATATGGATCTCACCATGACCCATTTAGAATTTTTCTATTTTTGTTTTATATTTAAAATTTCAACTTTTCAATGTTTGTTTAACTTTATATTAAATCCTGGTGACACTAATGAAACTGGAAAAATTAGAATACAGTTCAAAAGTTCATTTATTTCAATAATTAAACTCATAAGGTGAAACTAATACATGAGATAGACTCATTACTTGCAAAGCCAGATATTTTTGCCTTTATTTGTTATAACTGTGATGATTATGGCTTACAGCTGACGAAAACCCCACATTGAAAATCTCAGATAATTAGAATATTATGAAAAGGTTAATTTTTCTAGACTCAAAGTGTCACACTCTACTCAGCTAGTTAACTAGCTAGTTGCAAAGAGTTCCTGAGCCTTTAGATGGTCTCTCAAGCTGGATTAATGACATACATGGACTTTTGCACCATAATGTATTTTTCCAGTTTAACCTGTGCTTTTGTATTTGTAGTTTTTATGATACTATAACCTACTTAAATGACCAGTATTATCTAATGAATTAGCAAACCCTGTTCATTCCATGTTCAGTAAGAATGTGTTTCTTAGGAAACATGGACCCCAACCATAGACATACACACCCCAACAGGCTGGTCTTTAAAGAGATGAACAAAATAAAAGTGCATGAAGGGTCCTATAGGATGGTTTTAGCACACTGAGGGATAAAATGAGGTGAAACACATCGAGTCGTATTCAGATCAACAGAAGTAGAGTCTCTTAATGGGACTCTTGACTGAGACTCAGTGCTGGAGAGAAAATAAAATTGATTTCATAGGTTTAATCAGACGTAATAACAAGGCAGCTTTCATCATTGCCTTCCACAGCATAAGTGCTGGTGTCTTCACTAGTTCTTTACACACACTTGTGATGCTGCAGCATCCCTCTCTTATGTAATTACACGGGGAGTTTTTCCTCGGCAGCTTCCTACGCACTCTTGTGCAAATTATTCCCAACTGCAGTTTCCTTTCAAGAGCAATCCTGCAATTACATTGCATTTACATTTACAATGTACAATACGGTGCAAGTTATAATTTGTAGTTTTAGTTTTTATAGGGAATAAACCGGAAAAGTTTCCAAGGAGAGTTGAGAGGAGAAAACCATCCAGGTTAAAATGTACATTTGGTGCATCCGCTCTATGGTTTTGGTAAAATGAATTGACCAAGAAGCCTTCCTGATCTAGCTGAGGTGATTATTAAGAATTCTTATTAGTAATAATAGAACTATCTTTTTTAAAAGGTCTTTATTTCTATTTTCCCATGCAGACACAAACAAGTCCAGAAGGTCACAGCGACTGCCGATGTGATCTTTTTAGGAAGCAGAATTTGCAGGCGTTGTAAATGACCTGCTCCCAGCCTTTTGTGTGCCTTCATTCATTATCACCACAAAGCAGTTGATGTCTCCCCCTCTTTGCCTTTTCAGTGCCGAGCACGACGGGCGGTGAGCGGTCCATTACAAGTCCGAGACACGTTCAGCCGGGGAGACGACCAGACTGGGAGGAATGTGAGGAAGGAGTTCAATTAACAAGCTCCGATTGTATGGAATCTTTCGCCTATCAGGGAGGCAGCATGTAGCTCCGGCAACCACCGTCCTCATCCTGACCCGTGGCTGTTGACTTCCTGGCTTTTCTGTAGGTGGCTTCACCTCCATTAACCAGCTGATCAGCTCAGAGACAGAAACTTTAAGAGGGGTTTTTCTGAATTCAATGGAATATTTATAAAAACATCCCAATAGGAAGAGACACAAGCAAGTTAAAAGACACACACACACACACACACACACACACACACACACACACACACACACGCTAAATATCCTCTAAATCCATACAAATTGAATGAAGCCAGAACCGTGGCCTAAGAATATAGACCATAATTAATAAATTACAGCCACTCTACTCTATCACTCTCCACTTTGGGGCATGTAGACGTCCCATTCACTACAGAGTAATTACCCAGACATAAAAAAAAGCGGGAGCCCCAGAGGTGGCTTTGTGAGTGAGTCTGATGCCACTTCTTACAGAGCAAACAGATGCCCGAGTGAAACCGTAGGTCACACCGCAGGATTTTTTACTCTGTGTGTTTACAAGTAACAAATCAAATGCATGCATTATTTCTGAGTCCTGAAAATATGCCCAGGGGATGTATTAGGTTTCCCTGCCACCCCTCGAGCTCGCTTCTGCAGCTGCTGCATCGGTAAAGTGGCTGGCATGTGAAACAGACGTTTGAACAAAGCTAACTCAGTTTAGTGCACAAAATCTACCCTTTCTGATTATTCCTGGAATTACATAAACGGAATTCTGTAAAACCTAAAGCAGCACATTTTGGCTCATATTATTTTCTTTGTATGATTGAAATTTGCAAAAATTTCTTAGAGAATAATATATTTTGCTGCTGCGGCGTGTGTCCCCGTGGGCAAGAAAAGAGTGTGCTGGAGACTGTCTAATGACTGCTGGGTCATGTATCAAATACACAGCAGCTGGAGGCGAGAGTGCATACAGTCTGGGTGATGGGGGATTGGTGGGTGGGTGGGCGGGCGAACAGAAGCCCAGGCTTGTACGGAAAACCTCGGCTGAGTGTTTGGGTGCTGAGGGATGTGAATGGGTAATGGATGCTGACCAGAGGTCAGCCCCCTTGGTCCTGGGTTAGGGTTAATGTTTACTTCATTCAACAAATTAACTGACAAGTGCATGTGCCATACCATCAGTAACAACACCCTTTGTTGTTTGAGAACATTTAAGAAGAATACCAAGTTTGTTTTAATTCTACATCTGAGACAAAGAAAAGCAAAACAAATAAAATAAAATACACATATAAGACTCTGAGTAGATCCTATTTTTGGCACGTGACTTGGTTCATGACTGAATCAGAAGAGCTTCAGTGACCAGTATCTTGCAGGCAGGCAAAAATAATATTCTCAATGAAAAACTGCAGAGTTCAGGCAGTAATTAACATTTGAAGTGTCAATTCAAACAAATTCAGAGTGTACTTTAGAGTGAAGGTTGCCAAGCATGTTAACAAAAAGGCTAATTCAGCTTTTTATGCATCATAAAATGAGCTTTCCCCTGGAAATTGATCACTGGCAATTTTTATTCTAAATTTTAAATGATTTATTTAAAGAGGCACAGTTCATTTATCAGCAGTTTCTTCTCGAGTGTTGTACAACTGCAGTAAGATTTATTGTTTTAGTTAAATGTCTGTTAATGGTCCCATATTAGATTTAAGTGCATATACTTACATTCAAATAATAATTTTCTTACATTTAAAAAAATCCTTAAAATGCTCTTAAATAATAATTTAATTTGTTCCATGTTAACAAAAATGAATCCTGCCCTTCACCACAGGAGCAATTTGAGTAAAATGTTTAGCATGAGGCACTAATACAATACTGCTGCCCTCTGCTGGTTATTTCTGGGCTTTACTGCCCACTCAGAAGCACCAGCAGCTCATCAGAATCGGGACACCGGACTGACCTGGGGAACGTGGCCTAGCAGAAACCAGAGCGAATCAGCTGACAGCGTCTTGACTCTAGAAAACTCCAGTGTGTCGGTTTCCTGGCGGTCCAGGGCGATGAACTGGCAGCCATGATAGTCACCTTTCAGCTGCTCTCCACACTGCAGCTGCACCATATCCCACGTTCCCACCCTCCGAAGGACCTCCCGCACCGACTCCATCTGCCTGTATGACAGATGACCTGCAGGATAGAAAAACAGAAACTGAACTGGAAGCTAATTTAACTGTTACTCTACTTTTACAAATAGAGGTGTACTTTAGAATTAATTCTGTGTTTTACAGTCACCTGAAATCCAGGAGGGGGTGACAGCATCAGTCATCCAGGCCACATAGCCCTCCCTGAACGACCTGAGGAAGTCGTCTATCTGGCTGTGAGAGACCAGCTCCCTCCTCTTCATCAGCTCTTCATCCAGCCTGCAGTCTGGGGAGAGGAAGATGACCCTCGGGAAGAAGAGACTGCTGCGAACAGCCACTCCACTCCTCTTCAGATGACTGCATAAATGAGTTGTTTTGGTCTAGAGGAGACAAACAAATGAATGTGTTATGAATATGTTTACTTTTCAAATTAATGGGGCATCTGGTTGAGTTCGCTGCGCTTTTCTTCAGTTTTTTCTTTGTATTATTCCAAGTATTTAAATTATGCAAACATTTTGTGCATTTTCTTTCTTTTTCCTTGCTTAAAACATCTGAACCTTCTATTCGAGGAGACAATCTCAGTGTAAATCATATCAAATCATAACAATCATCAAGCTACAGTAAAAAAAGGCTTTGCTTTATTGTGCACTTTTCTTTTCAACAAATCTACATTTTAGCAAAATGTTTGTGTTTATTTTTACATAAAAGTCAGCATTAAGACATAAAAGTTCAGACATCTGTTTTGAAGTGTTTTAATGTGATTCACATTGAATCTATGAGGTTTTGCCCAGCTACATCCCCAGCCTTTCAAGGCCCAGCAAAGACCTCAGCTGTGGAGGTAAACACTCAAAGCTGATGGACAAAAAATGTTTAAAATATGGCCAAATATTTTGATGATGAATGGTAATGAGCCACACTTGTATAGCGCCTTTCAGAGTCAGAGGACTACAAAGCACTTCACACCACAGTGCATCATTCATCCATTCACACACCGATGCCCTGCACTGACAGAGGCGATGCTGCAGAGCACAGGCGCCACCAGCAGGTAAAGTGTCTTGCCCAAGGACACAACTGCAGAATTCTCTGTCTGGAGCTGGGATCGAACCTGCAGCCTTCTGATTATTGGACAACCTGCTCAACCTCTACTGCTGCCCCCAATGTCCCCTACGAGCCATACAGAACTCAGAAATCAGTATTTTTTTATTTCAATCCAAAAATTAGAGCAGCTCAATTACTAAAAAATAAATCACAATTGCTATTTATTTAGTCAACATTAAATGTAATATTCATTGATTTGGGAAACACTGCATTTATTTCTTCCCCTCATATAAAAACACATGTTTGGTGAGGCTCACCAAAGTAAAAGCGTTACAGGTCACCCCCAGCACGAATTTTATTGTGACGTGGCTTTTTTCCCAGTTACACATAAGACTAAAAGGTTGCCCACCAATGACTAATTTTAAAACATCAATCCAGCACAAAGAGCAGAGCTGGACCTACTATGTGTGGGTTAATGAAGTTAATACCAATCCAGTTCAATCCAGTTCAAGAAGACTTATTTCCACAGTGCAGATTGTGTTTAACATAAAATTCTTCCATCAAGCTTTTCATCAAACTAAAGCATCAATAGAAATGGAAATGAATGACCCCTAACATATTCAGCTATGTAAGGTCACAGCTGTGTTTAGGCACCTGCCTGCTTTCACCCTGCCCCCCCTCAGTCTGTCTACATAATTTGAGGAGGCACTTGTAAAGTTTAGGAAGCCCCACTGTCGCGTTTGAAATTTACATATAAATTGTTGCGGTGACTCAGAGTCTCTTAACCTTGTTACAGTTTGTATGAAAACTGTGAATTGGATAATTGTTGGGACCTTGGGCTTAAGTGTGCTAGACAGTTTAACATTGCCAGATTTTTTTTCTTTCTTTTATGTAAGGTTTTAGCAAAATTTACCGTTATTGCTTTAAGGGGATCATCCATCTGCTCAATGCAGGTATTGGTGAAGTTCTGGTCCTCTCCTTTAACTTGTACATGCCAGACTTTGTTGTGAGCAGACACGCTCCCTTTCCAGGGTTTTACATCTATACAGAAGACTCCTTGGCCTTAAGAAGGAAAGAAAAACAGTTAAATGTAAGTTAAAGTTTTGTTAACATGTCTATTGTCATGCCATTGTTTTGTTTTATTTATGAAACAACCTTTACAGGGGAACTAGGCAGTTTGGGCTTGCTTCTAGCCCCCCCCCCCCCAGCAGTAGAACCAAAAGCAAAACTTATCTCCTCGCTGTGCGTTGGTCTTTTTAACACCTTAATCTAGCAGCTGAAATGTCTCCCAGCCTTCTTTAGTATCTACAGCAGTGATTCATCACTAAATTAAACACATCAGCTGTCAGTGCGCCCCAGGGCAGCTGTGGCTATATCGTAGCTCATCACCATTGGTGTGTGAGTGTGTGAGTGAATGGATGAATGATACACTGTAGTGTAAAGCGCTTTGGAGTCTTTACTCTGAGAGGCGCTATACAAGTGCGGGTCATTTATCATTTATCATTCATGATCTAAAACATGCAGAAAACATGCTAGAAGCAGACTGCGGCGCCAGGTATGTCAGCTCCATAAGTCGCAACAGAGCGTCTGCCAGTCTGAAGTTGTAAGTGGAATATTCTGGCCATGGGGCACGATAAGGGCTGGGTGGCCTTTCTTTAGCCCTGTAAAGGGTCATTTTAGCACACACTGGTTTAAGAAAAAAATTTTAAACCATGAAAAAAGTTTTAAAGTATCCCTTTAACTAATGGCATGACGTGGTTTGCTATAAAGTCAGCCTGTGAGAACTAACTGCTTGCAATGGTGTTAGAAAGGGATGATCAGAAAGTTCAGACAGCACCACTAATGAAGCTGAGCTGTAAAGTACTAGTCTTGGTGCCACTTTCAACATTTTGACAAAAGCTTATGCTCTTTAGGCACAAAAACAGTTCTGACAATGATTAACAAAAACGATTTTCAACCCGTTGTGGGAAGACACATAGGCACAATGATACATCCTAACATCTGTTACCAGTGAACATTCCTGACTTGAATGTTGGAGAAATATGACTGAATTATTATTTGTTCACTTGTGAACAAGTTTCAGCTCCAGAAAAAGAACTATGAAAGTGTTGGTTCAAACCGAACCTTCAGACACTGTTTTGTGTTTAAATGGCTCGTTCACTGAGAAACTATAATACTTGTTATTTTTAAAGTAACAATAGATAGGTTTTTTTTTACTTTAAGCTACAGCTTTATCCTTAATCTCAGTGATTTTTGGGTTAGACACTTAACCAGTTTCATGTTTGACATCACTCTGCAGCCCTCTGCTGACCAACAACCGCACCTGGTAGTTGTATTTTTTTCAGTGGGTAGGTGCCCTAAAAGGGGAGCACTTTACGTGCTTTACGGCTGTTAGCTGTAATGCTAGCAGTTCCCATTTTCAGTTCACTGATCATCAAAAAAGAAAAAAAAAGAAAAAAAAAATGAAGTTTGCTGTTTCTGTTGGCATCATGGTGGAGCCTGGAAGTAAAAGTAAGAGAGTAAGGTCTTTGGCGATGAAAAACTTTCTTCAACCCCCACCCCCTGCACTAGCTGCAGAAAGAAAAAAGACAGGAAAACGACCAGGTCAGAAAAGGATAGTCTCTTCTATGTCACAGGAAAATATTAGCATTCATGGACTCGGTCATCTGGTTCGCGACAACGAAAGGCTGTTTTGACTTGGTGTCCAGGGAAGAGCAAAGCATGTCTCGGCTAGTAGAAGCTAACCATTAGCATTAGCAACTCCACTACATAGAGATAAAACATCAATGTTGCATTTTTTACTGAAGAAAGAAGAGTGAACAGAGGCAGTGGTAGAGTGGCTGTTAGCCAGTCAGAGGCAAGATATTTGAATTTGAGTACAACTTATAATCCAGCCCCCCCAAACGTCTACTCTCCTGAAACAGGAGCACCAGAGCCCACCCCCTGCCTCATGAGAAAATGAGACGTTTAACAAAAACATAAAGAATTTTTTTTCCACTAATAACCCTGAAAGCATTCCTTGCATCAAAATATGGTAAGATAGATTTTTTGCGTTAGCCATGCCCTCATACCTGTGAGAATGACAATACTGATGTCATCTTTGGCGGCTTGAAACTGGTCAGGAATTCGAAGGTTGCTATAAACATCTTCCCTCCTCAGTCCGGTGAGTTTACTGTGATTAAAGATAAACAGAGTTTTTAAAACGTTTTTCTTCTTCAGCAATATAACAAAAAGTTAATGTTTACATCAGATCGTAAATTAAGCTCCCACTACCCTGCCATCCAACGTTGCATTGCTAAAGTAACAGGTCAAGGAAAAAAGCTGTCTTTCTAGTCCGCATCAACGATCTCCACAACCCCTCTGATGAGTTCAGAGCTTGCCTTGCGTTGCTCATCTGTAGACATGCCCGTGAAACCTCTAGGGAGGAGACCATGACAACAAGTCTTTTTATGGAGGAGCAGCAGCTTTACTCCAAGCTCCCCTACATGACAAAGATCTGCACCTTTAAGTCTGAGTCTGCCCATATTTTAACAACCTGTATCTGGGTAGATGGACCAGTAAATCATGAGTTTTGCCTTTTTGGTTCAGCACCTCCTTCACCACAACAAATGTATGAGTGGTTTATCTAGTGGTCCATCCCTGCTATGCCTTGGGTTCTGGTTATGCAAGAGTGAAGGTCTAGTCCACTATTGTGTGATGAAAGCCAAACAGCGTCTTCTGAACTTTTGATATAATCATCATTTCTAACCCTATTAAGTAAATAAAATCAAAATTGATGATCACAAGATTGTATTCTGAACAAAGTTGTTAATCAGTGCTTTTAAACTTCAACTGAATGTCAACTGATATCAAGGACAATGTCTTGGGGAAGATTGGTCCACAAAACAATTAATTCCAACCCTAAACGCATCAGACCTCCAGTCCAGACTGTTTATGGTTTATATAGTAAAATCTGGATGGTGTGAGTATAAATGGTGGAGAGTCAACAAGGTTGTTTGCTATAATTTGTATTCAATGAATTGGATTTCAGAAAGATAATAAGATTTTTATAGACATGAATAAAACAACGAAAAACAACTTTTAACGACTAAAAATATTTTTAAAAATAGCATTCCAAGTCATTTCTGATGCCAAAAACAAGCATGTTGTAACATTTTTATTTTATTTAGTAAAATAACGTGTAGTGTCATTTAATACCTACATGACATGCTGTAACAACTCAGACAGTGTTGGCAGCTGCTTTGGGCTTTGGCTTGGGGCACTTTCCGGAGCTTTGGAGGAGAATTGGAAATGAGGGAACAAGTTTCCAAGCTGGATCATTCTTGTGTTAATCTGAAACGAACAGAAAATTAATCCAAGGAGAATTTTCTCTTTAGATTAATTAGTTTTGACAACTGTTTTCTTACGGGACCACAAGAATCCATTACACGTCGGTAAATCTAATAACAACAAAAGCCCACTCCCCCTGACACCAGCTGTTGTACATGGGGGGGGGGGGGGGGGGCTTGTTGACGACGCTCAGGCACTTGAACACAGCTGAGAAAAGAACAAAGATCAAAACGGAACTCGCGCGAGTTCTCCACAGAAACAAACAACTGTACGTACGGTTGAGGGTCCGTCTGAATTAAAACCGCTTCAGGAACCGTGTTCACTTTGACATCTTCCCGGCGTTTCCGCGGCTCTGTCTTCTTCCAAATGCTGACTAACTTTATCCAGTTTCACAATCCCCGCTCGTCTCTGGCGGAACTTCCACCGTTCCTAGAAGAAGTAAACAACAGACCACGTGCGCCACCTGCAGAGTCGGATTTCTCCCACCGAGACGTGACGTCAGTGAAAGCCGCAGCGATGCATTTAGGGCCAGAACAATGCCAAGACCCTTTTAGCTCTCCTAGAGCTTCTAGTATGGCTGGAAGACTGTTCAGTTGCTCTCGTTTTAGATTCATGCTGGAAAATGAAATTAAATAAATAAATATAAATAAAAATCAATTATAGCTGCTTTATTTTGCTGTTCTTGAAATGAAGCTTGTTGAGATTTACTCCATTTTTAAACTTGTTTAATTCCTCAGAGAGATCAAAATATAACAGTCAGTTGCTTTATTTTCAGAGTGACTCAAATTAAGTAGAGAAGAAAGGCTGAAGAGTCTGTGGGTTATGGAAATGTTGTTTAGAACACATGTATTGATATATTCACATACATTTTAATTGGTAGGGAAAATCACTCGAATTTCAGATTAAACACCATACATCTACAGAGGTTCTTTAATTACTAGGAAAGTTTATTTTGGTCCAAGATGAGCAAAGATTCAATTCAATTCAGTTTATTTATATGGAGCCAAATCACAAAAAGAGTTGTCTCATGGGGCTTTATAAAGTAAGAATATACTTATCAGAGCACTGAGTTCAATTCATTATTCCAGTTAGTTAAAGGTTGTCTAAGGAAACCCAGTAGACTGCATTGCGTCACTGACTTGTTTCAGAAACCGTGCCACAAAACCCTTCATAAGCAAGCATGTAGCGACAGTGGAGAGGACAAATCCCCTTTAACAGGAAGAAACGTCCCACATGACCTGGCTCAGTGTCAGCAGCTGTCAGCCAACTCACTGGGGGTTTGAGAAGACAGAAAGCACACGCACACGCACACGCACACGCACGCACACACACACACACACACACACACACACACACACACACACACACACACACACACACACACACACACACACACACACACACACACACACACACACACACACAATGTCACTGACATTGTCTTATTGGGTGAAATCTTTAAGAAACATCACAAACACACTGCAGAAGTTCAAAACAATTTGAAATAATAATTTTGTTATTGTACAAACAAGGTAGTAAAAATGTTTATGTTGAATAAAGATTATAACGTTTGTTAAGGAGCCTTAAATCAGAGAAGAAGAAACTGTTGTTGAGTCCTGATGTTTTAGATAAAATACATCTACAGAGTTTACCAGAGGGTAATAGCTCATATTCAGACGTGTTCTAAAAATAATCACCAAAAATCTAAAACTGAGGCGTGCTCTACTTTGTGGTGAAACCAAATGAAATATGTAGTGTATTTTTAAATCTTAAACTCATAGATAGTCAGTGAGGCTCACATACTGGCACATTCTCACATCCTGCATGAGCCTACAAGGAGGATATTACAAAAGTGATGAAGAATATTTAATTCAGCAGTAAATACACAGCAAATATCTCAATGTGGTGATAAACAATATCCGGACGGCACAAGAGTCTATGAAAGAGCCTAATATCAAGAGCAGATAGCCAAATCAACTCATATGGGCTCAATGGAAGCCAATATAAACAGAGGCACTCTGCCTCTCCTGACCTTCACTTCTGCTTCAGATTGGGGCGATAAAACAGGCGCAACCTCAATAAAACCTGCACAAAGGAGTAAAATAAATAGATATTAAATTAAAGCAGAGGCGATACTGGCTGAACTGCTGCAGGACTTCAGGAACAAAAGCATCTTTGTGCAGTTAATATTGTCTACAATCACCACCTCATGATATGTCTGCAATCATTTCCATCTCTGGACTCAACACATATAATCACCTCGTGCGAGAAATTGCAAATAACTTGTGAACTCTTGTTTGTGTGAAAGAGAGCAGGTAGATATATGAGATCGAGTCTGTGCTCCAGCAGTTTGGCCTTTTCCAGCTCTCTCTTGACACTGCTGAGGAAGACGTTTGTCCTCACATAAAAGTTCACTTTGCACATTTTGGTACCTTCAAGCTTTGTTTCTTTGATTTTGTTTGCAAAGAAAATTTCATTTCCCAATGAAAACTAATCATAGCGTAATCATTAAGAGTCATTTTTTGTTTACTGTGTTCCTCAAGCGGCCTCTAAAGCTTTTATCATCCATCCGAGTTTAAATTTTGATGTTGGAATAGAAAAACCAAAATAATCGGAAGAAAGATAATTTTACAAATTAAACTGTCGTGTGGTCTGAATAAATAATCCGGTAAAAGAAGTGGAAGAAAAGATATTTTTCAATCAGACGATGTTTCCACTTTTAATCTTTCAAATCATGCGTCTCATTTACAGAAATAATGACTGGACGACATCGCTAATGCTCCGCTCGTCAATTTTTGCTCATTTCTGCTGCATTATTTAAAGGAGAGATGTTCCATAAGATCTCTGGGGTTTTTGCCAACTCGGTTCTGAGAGAATAACCATTTTACACTGAAGTACGACCCACTTAACCGCCTCGATCAAACTGGATGATTTAAAACCTGCCAGCTGAAAATGTTAAATGGATTAAATGGCTTGAAATAAATGGTATAAAAATATTCATGGTTCTTAATCACCTAATTGGAACAAATTCACCTAAAGAAAGAAAGATGCTGACAAAAAGGTCCCGGAATAAAAGATAAAATAACCTCTGACTGATGTTTTTAGGTGTTTCATGTGGAAACGAAGAGACCTTACAATTCCCATCATATAATAGATCCAACAACAGGATGTGGGAAAATAAGAAAAAACATTTTGGGATTGATCTCTGGAAGCTATTTGTATGACTGGCCTGCTGCTATAATAAGTTCTGCCAAATAAAGAGGTAATTAGTATGCTAAAGTTTAATTGCTCAATTATCCCTGGATGTGAGGGGAGACCTTGCTGCCATTTCATCATGTCTGAAAATAACGTTGAGCACCTCGTGCCTCATTTTGTAATTGCCGGCAATTACACAGAGAGCCTTTGAGGTGAGCTGATTGATGCAAGCGGCCTCTAGTGAAACACCTTTGCTCCCTGCCTGGTGCAACTGTTTGCATCGAGTAGAGGGCCCATTTAGGCTGATAAAGCCAAGCTCTCGTTTTGGAAAAGCAGCTGATGGACAGCCTGAATGCCACCTGTATAAGTACTGCTGAGGACAACATGTTAAACCAACATTATTGTGAAATAAATAAGAAAGGGTGAAAATAAACTGCTTGTGCTCCTTCATGATCCAAAGAGGAGATAAAACCCACACAAACGTACGGGTTTGGTAATGCCTTCGGCTTCAGTTTTGTTTTTTATCTTATTGATGTTACTCTCAGAGCTGTTTATGTTTCACATTTAAGCAAAGAGTCTCCTCAGAAATCCTGAAGGGAGGTTTGTGAGATGGTGACAAACTGCGGGCATTTATTTTATGTGAAAAGCACCTTTAAAATGTGTGGCCTGCTTTAAAGCTTCATTTAGTTATAAATACACATTCTTTAACTTTTAACCCAAACTTTTGCAAAGGGCCTGAATATAGTCAGCAAAAACTGTTGCATCCATAAAATGAGCCTTGTGGTAATTTATGCTAATATTACGATACAGTTGTGGCTAAAGTCTTGCAGTCAGAGTAAATCAATAATGTATTCATTTATTTAACCAGGAAGATCCAAATGAGATTAAAACCCAATGTTCCAGAGACTTGCTGAGATATTACATGCCTTCCAGGTGGGAAACAGTTAAACAAAAGTGGAGCCTCTTTACACTCAACCAGCTCCTATGGTGTTCTTTTGAGTCTTAATTTACCACAAACCATTACTTTCTACAGAAAAAGACACAAGCACGATGTGTTTAGGCAGGAAATGGTTTATTTTAAAAAAACAACAACCTCAAAGACAAGAATGATTTTGTTTTTATTCACAAATAGAACGATTTGTTATTATTTTCATCATCATTATTATTATTATTATTATTATTATTATTATTATTATTATTATTATTATTATTATTTTAATATTATTATTATTGTTGTGAGTAGACTGAAACATACATTTAATTATTACTGACTTAAGGAACATTTTGTAATCTTTTAACAAATGCAAAAATGGGCAAAAGCCAGGCCGACTAGATTCCACTGGTTACCGACCAGAACAACGCGCTCTCGTGACGAGTCGGGTGGGAGAACGTGTTGCAACAGAAACATACAGAAACAAAAGTGGCAACACATAATAGCAGCAAGATGAGGCTGTTTGGTACATGAGTTTAAGTTGACATAATGAAACTTGTAAAATAGAAATTATACTAAATCTAAGATTTTTATATAGAAAAATAAACAATTCTAAAAATGACAATTATGTAATTTATTACAAGTAATGCTATTCAATTACAACAAAAGCACAATTTAAATTTAAGTATTTCTATTCAACACAATTTATACATATTTCAACCATTCAGATTTTTTTGTCTTGGAGTCATCAAATATACTCAAACATCATTTTTTGTGGCTGTATTTAATACATTTTAAATCTTATTTAGACAATAAATCGCTTTGATCATTCTCTTGACCTACGTGAGGCAGCGACTGTGATGACCGACTTGTTAAACTAAATCTATAACAGGTCTTTTCAGTTCTCTCCAAACAGCCGATGTCTCTTTCATGCTCCTCCAGCTTGCTCGCTCTGAAACAAGGGTGTGTGGTTATGGACAAACAATGACATGTTTTCTTCCTTTTACTCCCTAAATTCTTCACATCATCTCTGCATAGATGAGTCATTTGTCTGTCATGAGGTCTGGGTCGTTGGCCGACTTTGAGCCCATTTCATTGACAACACTGTTATTAGAGGTAAGCCGAGCCAGTAGCAAATGAATTTGCCTTCTGTTCAGGAGGCTGGGGCTCTTTTCAGCGATTAATTTGATAAATGTATTAATTATGAATCTGGATGGCAGTACAATCAGATCGTCAGGCTTCCAGACTTGGTCTTTTGTGATAATTCAGCTTTGAGATCAGGGGCTCCTCAGGTTTCAGGAGCTATCATTCCCAGGGCTCAGCCTCTTATCAGCACCTGACCCATTCACT